AAATTAGTTGGCTTTGGTGTCCGGTATCCTGCACCTGTACTTCAAGCTACTTGGGAGGCTGAGGTAGGAGGATCACTCAAGCCTGGGAGGTTGAGGCTGCAGAGAGCTGTGATTGCAGCATTGCACTCTAGCCTGAGTGACAGACAAGACCCTGTCTCAAAAAAAGAGGGAAAAAGATTTAAATGTAACATCTAAAACTATAAATGTCCCAGAAGAAAACTAAGGAAATACCCTGTTGACATCAGCCTTGGCAAAGAATTTTTGGCTAAGTCCCACAAAACAATTGTTAACAAAACCAAAAATGGACAAGTGGGACATAAAGAGCTTCTGCACAGCAAAAGAAACTGTCAATGGAGTAAGCAGGCTACCTACAGAATAGGAGAAAATATTTGCAAACTATGCATCTGACAAAAGTCTAGTATGCAGAATCCATAAGAATTTTAAACAAATCAACAAACAAGAAACAAATAACCAAAATAAAAATGGGCAAAAGACATGCACAGACACTTCTCAAAAGAATACATACAAGCAGCCAACAAACATATGAAAAAATGTTCAATATCACTAATTATCAGAGAAACGCATATCAAAACTACTATGAGATACCACCTCACAGTCATCTGAATGGCTATTCTTAAAAAGTCCGAAACAAACAAACAAAAAAAACCCAATGGATGTAGCAAGGCTGCAGAGAAAAGAGAACACTTGTATGCCTTTGGTGGCAACGTAACTTAGTTCAGCCACTGTGGAAAGCAGTTTGGGAATTTCGCAAAGGACTTAAAACAGAGCTACCATTGAACTCATTACTGTGTATACACTCCAGGGAAAATAGACACATGCATTCAAATGTTCATTGCTGTGCTATTTATAATAGCAGACATGGAATCAACCTAGGTGCCTATCAATGATGGATTAGATAAAGATAAAGAAAATATGGATACTATGCAGCCATAAGAAGCAATGATATCATGTTCTTTGTAGCAACATGAGTTGGGGGCTATAATCCTAAGCAAATTAATGCAAGAACAGAAAACTAAATGCTGCATGTTCTCACTTATAAGTGGGAGGCAACCACTGAGCACACATGGACATAAACATGAAAACAATAGATTCTGTGGACTACTAGGGGGGCGGGGAGGGACAGAGATATGAGCTGAAAAACTACCTGCTTGGTACTATACTCCCATTTGGGTGCCATATACCAAGTAGCAAACCTGCACATGTGCCCCTGTATCTAAAATAAAAGTTTAATTAAGAAACAATTAGAGTAATAAGTGTGGCAAATTTAATTTACAAATGATGAAACTATGCAGAATAATGTCCTCCAGTAGAAATTCTCATCCCAAACTCTAGAAACTGTGATTATGTTGGATTATATGGCAAGAGAGAATCATCAGATGAAATTCTGATGAAACTAATTGATTAATCTTAAACTAATGGCTAAACCATAGATTATTCTGGTTTATCTGAATTGCCCAGATACAATGATAAAAGTTCTTAAAAGCAGAAGAGGAAGTGAGAATGAGAAATTCAGAGGAAAATATGACTATGGCAGAAATATATAAGTAACATTGCTGGCTTTGAAGAGGAAAGAAAAGAAACTTCTAGCGGCTAGAAAAAGCAAGGAATCAAATTTTCGTCTAGTGTATTCCAAAAGGCATGCTCTTTTCCATACACCTTGCTTTAGTCCAGTGAGACTCACCCAGACTCCTGAACTACAGAACAATAGTTCATAATACATTTGTGTCATTTTAAGCTGTGAAGTTTGTGATAATTTTTGTATAGTGAGTATAGGACACTGATACATCCTACTTCTGAAAAAGGGAGGTATTTGCATGTTTTAAGAACATATAGAGCATATGGACATTTTAATCTATTATTGAGGAAATCAGAAGAGGCTATATTAATGAGATGATACATAATATTTAAAATATGTGTAGTATGAATATACAGTATTATAAACATATCAAATATTTCCCTAAAATATTTTAGTGATTAAAAAAAAGATTTAATGCAATCTAAAAGTGTGCATATGTGTGTGTGTGTGCCAATTAAGAACTGATTATGAAACTTTCTTGACAATGCTAAGTGTAAAAATAAATAAATAAATAATTGGAGGATTTACCTTCCAAAATCAAGTATATAGAAAAATCCCAATTGTATTTGTATAGTATTGGTGCAATTTTATACAAATACACTAATTAAAGAATACTGAACATACAGAAAAATTCTTATGCTTTTGAGAATTCTATCTGAACTGACTGAGTTTGATTTGTGTTAGGCTGACTCTCCCAGGAATCTGATATCCACAAGCTACTACTAAAATCCCAAGATACATTCCATCTGAAGGGAACATAGTTAATATGGTTAGTCCCATCCCTTATGTGATACCAGAAAATAGAGGACAAACTGTCATCTCCTGGGAACATGAGAAACTGAATAAATGTTTTCATTTTATCCCTTAGCAGGATTTTCATCAGCCTAAAATTTTGTTTGCATCCTTTTAAATAGATACTTCCTACTAATTTTGTGACCCAGAAGAGAAGAGGGCCTGGTAAGTAAAAAACTGCAGTCAATTAGTGACAAAAACCCTACACTGGCTCTTTGATTTTATCTAATAACAGAGCCTTTAGTTTAATCAATGTTCAAATAGAGGTTGTGTTCTGGAAGACACGACCCTGGGAGAAAGAGGTTTTTATGACACAAATGATTCTATAATAAGGAAATAAACAATGGAGGGAGAATACTGACTTCATGTGTAGACCAGCTTATGTGACCAGTAGTGCAAAAGGAAACTCAGAATGAAAGAGGGATTAGGTGCTGTGGCACATCCCTTTAATCTCAGCACTTTGGGAGTTTGAGGTGGGAGGATTGCTCTAGCTCAGGAGTTTGAGACCAGCCTGGGCAACATGGTGAGACCCCCTCTCTATAAAAAAAAAATATACAGTAATTAGCTAGGCATAGTGACACATATCTATAGCCCCAGCTACTCAGGAGGCTGAGATGGGAGGATCACTTGAGCCTGGGAGGCAGAGGCTGCAGTGAGCTGAAAGAGCTCTTTGGGTAGAAGAAATGAGATCAGAATAAGATTTGGCTGAACCAACAAACCTCAGTTTGGATATTTTCTTTGGCTTTCCTTCATAGTTTTAATAATTAGTTATTAATTTTTTTCACCTTTAAATGTATTACCTGTAACCCTGGCGAAATGTGCTCCAAGAAGCTGAACTGCAATTTAGCACAAATTATAGAGATCTTTTTTTTCATAGTTCATTTTAGTCTACTACTTTTTAGACCACAAGAGATCATGTGACCACCATTTTAGGGAGGACTTCATGAAGACTCTGCTGCTATATGTTATTCCCATAAGCTCAGTGCCGGTAAGAGTTCAGTCTGCATCAGACCAGGAGATGTAACTTGGAACAGACTTTCATTCAGAGGGTTGCCTTTGGGCAGTGAGAACTAGTTACATGTCTCGTAGGAAAATATAATATGCCCACTTCAGCTAATTAATGACTGTCAGTGACAAAATTAAGGGAGGGAAGCTCACCTATGTAAAGCTTTGACTAGGGACTTGGCAGATGTCACTAAACCTACTTGGCTTGACCTACTCTTCCTTATGAAGAAGGCTACAGATCCTCACCAAACATAATAATATACAGCTGGTGTGATAGCGCACAAAATCCACTCTTTCCTTAAACGCTTTTTGAAGGACTTTGTAAATATGTTGGGGAAGGTAAGACCCAAACTATGGCTCATGTTCTGGGGTGCCTCTCTAATGTTGCGGTTCCCTGTTATCATGCCCCTGATTTTCTTTCTTTTACAAAAGTACTCTATAAAATAGGTCACAATAGCAAAGTTAAAACTCAAAGGGTGTTTTCAATGTAAAAGCTGCCTTCAGGGGTGGCCTCTGTTTAATACAAAGCTGGAGGTTCTCACAGTTGAAGTCCAAGAACTGGCAGGCCATAACTGAGAACACTGGAGTAAAATTTCTTTTATTATTCTTTATTTCATCTTTAGAAGATATGAATCTGCTGTGCTGACTTTACCTAGGACTAATTGCCCTTGGTGTTCTCTGTTATGTAGACATTTTCAAACTCATGGAGTGGTAAAGTTGTCTCCTTTGTTAACATCAGAGATCCTCCAGAGCTTAGGACATTGACCTTCAAGTCATAAATTATCCTCTGAACTCACTGCTCTCTGCTTGAGTCAGGGTAATGCTGTTCACTTGTCCCTGTGTGTCTTCTGATACATGCTTTCTCTCATATTAACAATCCCAGTAAACATACACTCTGAACCATATTTCAATCCCAATGAAATGAAACTCTACCAAAACACACAGCACTGGAACCTGCCTTTTATTTTTTATTCCTTTTATTATTTTTTCTTTTGCTTTATCCACATTCTTCAGTTTATTTGATCAGACCCATTGTCTGAAATGTATTTGCTCTATAAAAGTCAGTTGCTCCCCTTTTCTCATAGCTCATCGTCATCCAGCTTGATATTTTTAATATTTTATTATTCTCTCTCCCTACTCTGTCTCCCCACTCCTTCTCCTTATACTTGGTTTTTCCTGTTTTTAAAACCTGAGTCTATCCTTAATAATCTGCATTGAAAAAAGAAAAACCGTGAATTACATTTAATCATATGAAATTGCTGACCTACAAAAATAACCATTTCATAGGTTTATTAGTAAATAAAGAAATCTAAATCTAAATCAGTAAATATCTAAAGAAATATCTAAACAAGATAAAGAAATGAGGTGGGTGTGATGCCAAAGAGAAGGGGCAAGTGAAGGATCTTATGCCAAGAGAAGGGTCCGTTTTACAGGTGCCAGCTCTTCCTGGAACAGGAGGAGCTTCAGGTGGTTACACTGGGTGTGACAGTTGCAGTCCTCAGCAATGTTCAACACCTGGGTTCAACACTGTAGGTTTCACAGCTCATTCTGACAGTTGGTTTGTCTTCAGGGTTCAAGAACCTGTGGATCCCAGACTGAAGAGACCATGTATAACTTGAGTTGTTACAACCCCAGCTCCTTTATCCTTGTTGGAATACCTGGCCTGGAGAAGTTCCACATGTGGATTGGGATTCCCTTTTGTGTCATCTATGTTGTGGCTGTTGTGGGCAACTGCATCCTTCTCTACCTCATTGCAATTGAACACAGCCTCCATGAGCCCATGTTTTTCTTCCTCTCTATGCTGGCCACCACAGACCTCCTCCTGTCCACTGCCACAGTGCCCAAACTGCTCAGTAACTTCTGGCTTGGCTCCCAAGAAATAACCTTTTCTGGTTGTCTCATTCAGATGTTTTTTCTCCACTTCAGCTTTGTGGTGGACTCAGCCATCCTGCTGGCCATGGCATTTGATCGCTTTGTTGCCATCTGCTTCCCCTTGAGATATACCACCATCCTGACTCCTCAGGTGATCGTCAAACTTATGGTGAGCATTGTTGTGAGAAGCTTCTCCATCATCCTGCCAGATGTTTTTCTGCTAAAACGGTTGCCCTTTTGCAGGACACATACCATCCCACACACATACTGTGAGCACATAGGTGTTGCTTGGCTTTCGTCTGCAGACATCTCTATCAACATCTGGTATGGGTTTGCTGTACCTCTCATGACTGTTATCTCAGATGTGATCTTTATTGCTGTTTCCTATGCCTTCATCCTTCATGCTGTGTTCCAACTCTCATCCCAGGGTGCCCGCCAAAAAGCCCTCAGCACCTGTGGTTCCCATGTCTGTGTCATCCTCATGTTTTACACCCCTGCCTTCTTCTCCATCCTTGCTCATCGCTTTGGGCACAGTGTCCCTCGAAATGTACTTATCCTGTTTGCCAACCTCTACGTGGCCATCCCTCCTGCTCTAAATCCTATTGTTTATGGAGTGAAAACAAAGCAAATCCAGGACAAATTTATTCTCCTCTTCTCTTTGAAGAAGTCACAATAAGTGGACACTGAAGGAGAATATACGTAAAATTGATTTGGTGAAATTTTATGTAACATAGGATGGTAAAAAGATAAAGCTGTAACTCTTATTAATTTGAAATTTCTGCTTTTTACCTATGTGCAAAGTATAGACAAGAGGAAGAGGGAAGAAAGAAAAATCTTATAAACATCTAGAAAATAGAGGATTTTCTTGGTTTAGTTTTTTCACCATTTGTGTGAACACAGTAGAGCACTAAAACTAAAGCTTATATTTTTCCTAATGCTAACCAACATATTTGAAGGATAGGTTATTTCCTAACATGCAAATTCAGCCCCGTGTTTCTCAGCTTATGAATTAAAGACAAAGCCTTTTGCCTTTCCTTATTAAGTAGTTATCAATCCTTTATACTATAATTCTCAAACACACAGCTTCACACTTCTTCAGTTCAGATTCTCTACCTTATTAATGCTTCCTTCTGTGCCCTTGACTTTTTTCTCTTATCCACCTCTTATCACTAGAGTTGCTTATATTTTGTATCTACTTTAATTGTATGCTCTAAGAAAATTCCAAACTTGGTTTTTCCATAACCCTGGATCTATATTTTATAAGTATTTGTATATTTAATTAAGAAAATAATTATGAGAGGATAATATTAGTTAATTTGGTTTACAAACGAGGAAACCAAAACTTACAAAGATTACAAAGAGATAATTAATAGATCTAGGATCTAACCCAGATTTGAATGATTCCAGAATCTACACTCTTAGCCAATAACTTTCTGGGTATCTACTCACACAATTGGTTTACAAGCTACTTAAAGTTAATTTTTCCAAAATTTACCTAGAAACTTACGAACTTTCCCTGCCCCCTCTCTCTCAAAAATCAAACAAACAAAAAAACCACCTATTTCTTTTGTTTTCCTAATTGGTAAATGGCAGTATGAAAAACAGAAATTTCCAAGCAAGAAATCTATCATTTACTCTTTATTTATTCTGTTACTCTCAAAGAAAATTAAATCAACATTAAGTTAAATATTTGAGTTTGAAGTGCTTCTAAATTATTCCAGTGGATATATATATAACATTACCTTTATTAGGGCTGTTGAGCTTGACTAGGCTCTAATCCATTATCTGTCTCTCAGAGAGTATTCCAAAATCTTTTTGAAGTGGTTCCAATCTTGGTCTATCCAATCCACTCTCTCTATAAAAGCCAGAATGATCATTTTACAATTCACATATGATTATGACACTTTGTACCTTGAAACTCTTCAATGTTTCCACTGTCCTCAGGGTTGTGCCTAAGTACGTCCTTCCTTAGGGTCATTGTAGAGAATGCAAGACTTAAATAAAAAGAGAGACCTTCTGTAAAACTAAGAGCTTTACACTTTATTTACATTTGTTTATATTTTATTTATGTTTAATTACACTTTATTTGCACTCCCCTGACTCTTAGAGCAAATAATTCCAGAAGTGATATTTTTCTTTTATGTTGCCATACTCAGTGTCCTGTTTTTGTTTTTGCTTTATTTTACATACAAGAAAACCTGGTGTGGGTGGAGTGTGTGTTGGAGTTGGGTAGGATTTATTCATGTTCCTGTTAGGAAACTGTCCCAAGATAACAACACCTATTTCTTTCTTTCTTCTTGTAAATATATATATATATATATATATATATATATATATATATATATATATATAAAATTGCACTTTAGGTTCTGAGGTACATGTGAAGAACATGCAGGATTGTTGCATAGGTACATACATGGCAATGTGGTTTGCTGCCTCCATCCCCATCACCTATATCTGGCATTTCTCTCCATGTTATCCCCCACCAACTCCCTACCCTCCACTGTTCCTCCCCTATTCCCCCACAACAGACCCCAGTGTGTGATGCTCCCCTCCCTGTGTCCATGTGTTCTCATTGTTCAACAGCCGCCTATGAGTGAGAACATGAAGAACAACACCTATTTCTTAAGATCTCCATTGTAAAAGAAGACATACATTGAATCAAGACGGACATGTTAAATTACCCGGGAGGAAGAAGTAAAGAGTAAAATTGGCATTCTGAGATAAGAACCTGTGTGTATGTGAGTGTGTGGTATGTGTGTGTGGTGTATGTTGACATTTTCTTTGCTCTCTGCAGTGCCCTGCAGCCAATTCAGAAGAGACATATGCAGAGGCTGCTTTATTTATGCCACTACTAAAAATTGGCATATTTATTTGCTTATACATTTATCTATCCACAGCTATGTTATTGGCGCAGAATTTTTCTCAGCCACTTTTGCCAGCCAGATCTCTGGCTGGTGATACCCCTGCCCAGGTCTTGCTCAGGCCTGGGTTTGTTGCAGAAGATGCCCCATACATTCAGCCTGCTGAGCCATTCCCGGCCTGCTCTCTGGTGCAAATGCTGCAGCAGCTGTGACTGCACACTTAGCCCCTGGCAGTAGAAGGTGTGTGAGTGAGAAAGTGTGGGGTTTGGCCAGCTGTTTAGAGTGCCAGCACTGTAGGGGGCTCTATGCAGGGCTTGTGGCTAGATCAGTGACCAAAAGTGTCTCAAGCTTCTCTTATAATGGACTCTGGCATCCAGACAAAAGGAACTTGGTGGCACCCAGGCAGTGGTGCCCTGACCCAGAAGCCTCAGAGATGTTATAGTGTGCTAATTAGCTCTTTTAGTCCTGTTGTCTGGAGCCCAATGGATGGCAGCAAGTTAGCAGCTCTGTCAGTCCCTTGCCTTGCTCCAGTCTATGACTCTGGGTCTGGGTTAGCTCCACTGCTGCTTCCTGTTGCATGGGTGACTGCCCTCTGCCATCAGAGGGCTGAGGGCCACAATTGTTACAGCCTTCAGTATACCTGCATTTGGTGGGTCCCAAGTTCTTGTCCCATGTCCAAAAATAAGATCACACTGAAAATCAATGGGTGAGGAGGAAAGAGAAGAATTTTATTGAGCAACGAAATAGCTCTCAGCAGAGATGGAACATAAGGATGGACCCCCACCAGAAGTTGGGTGGTTTCTCTCTCTGTGTGGCTGGATCTGGGGCTTTTATGGACTCAGAATGGGGAGTGCATGCTGATTGGGCTGAGAGTATGCAGAAAAGGCTAAAACAAAAGCATTAAAAGTGGGCATGACAATGTAAAAAACCAATTAGGGAAGGGTAAGTATATGTAAAACAGGTGAAGGGTAAGGATCAATCAGAGGAATGTGCGCCACATGGGAAGAGAGGTTCTCAATCCAGTCTGTGGATTTACCCAAGACTTTTAGCTTGTGTTTCAGGCTTTAAACTGTCTTTAGTTTGAAGATGGGGTTTCACCAGGGACCCACCACTGTCTGCCTAGGATTTGTCTGCCTCCTGCTGCCATCATTATGAACTCCTTGAAGGCAGAAATTTCATCTTAGGTACCTTCTTATACTCTGTCCAATGAAAATACCTGCCAAACCATATGTTCTCAATATGTTTCATGCATATCCAAACTTCATCAGAAATATATTCCTTCAAGCTATCAGCCCTAACTTTTTCTTTCTTCCTTCTCTAGCCAGCGTACATTCCCTAATGCATTGAGCCATTGTCTTGTTTGTGTCCTAAACTCACCTGTCTCCCCTACATACTCAGTTGAAAAAGTATTCCTGGAATGTTGATGAAGTTAGTTCTGTATTTTGGAGAACTTGGCAAAGGTGACCCCACAGGGCAAACTGATACTACTGCAAGTGAATTGCGATAGTAGAGTTGTCATACTTGCCTGGTTTCAGCCCCTCAAATAAACCGAATTTTTCCTTGTTCCTTCTCTTTACTATTCTTTGCTTGACAACTCCTGTTTAGGCTTCAATTAAAATTCCTTCCTCAGATATTCCTTCTTTAATCCTGCACACTAGATTAGTAACACTTGCATACATTTTCATGACAGCATGTAGTTTTTTAATTTTAGGGCTATTCACAACTTGAATAAGGTGATTTCTTATATTCTTTGTTTTTAATGTTTGTCTTTTCCATTAGGTCACTGAAGACCTGTTTAGAGTCTGCTTTGTTCATCATTGTTTTCTCATCACCTGTAAGGTTTTTTAGCACAGATAAGTGCTCAATAAATACTTGCTGAATAAATGGGTTGAAACAAATGAGTTTTAATTAATTCCTGAAGTCTCTGCTTCCCATGGTAACGAACTGCCTGAATTTGTAACTCAGCCTAATCAGAAAGATAATTCTAAAGAGTCAATGAGAAAAGTTTATTTTCTTCATAGAAAGTTGATAATTTTTATTCTGCTTATTCCTTGGACCTTGTCCATAAGCATTTTCAAGTAATTTTCTTTTTCACAGATGTAAAAACTAGTTTTCAAAACAGTTAAGAATTTTGCTATGTCACAAATGAAGGAATGAGGAAAACAAGGAATAAATTCTAGATTTTTTGCCACTTGGCTTCGAAGTTAGATTCCTTGTTGGACTTATGGAAGGCTGTGTTTAGAGTTTTTCTAAGTACTCATGTTGGATATCTGTGATTTTTAGACCTACATATAATTTGTGTTAGAGATCTGATTAGATAATGCAGAATGCCATAAAAGTATAGCACATTGTCTAATTTGAATATTGGTCAGAAAACTTACTGGGGATAGTAAATGAGTGGGAGTTATCTAGAAGAAGAGAGAAATTGACTAAGCTGAAGAAATATCCACAATTAAACATGAGTGGAGAAGAAATTCAGAAAATAGTATTCCCAAGAACTGAAAGGTGAATTGGCAGAGACATAGCTGGTGGACTACAGTTATCTCACTTTTGACATGGGAGAGGCTGTGTGGATTCTTCTATGTTGATGTTAACATCTGAGCTGTAGCGTTAGTTAATATAATACTTGCTTAAGACTGGACAAATAAAATTATTGAAGGTTTTAAAAGTGTCATGTGGAAGCTACAGGGCTGTGATGATGTCAGTAATGCCACAGATCCGATTAAGTAAAAAACCACAATTTATATGCATGTTCTTCAGTTATATGTACCCCAGATACAATGCCGGCAAGACACCTAAGAATGTAGATACACACACTC